AGACAAAAAAAAAAAAAAAACAACAACAACAACAACAACAACAACAACAACAACAACAACAACAACAACTAACAATTAACGAGAGAAACATCAATGACGATACGGGATGGTTAGAGGATGAGAGTCCACCATAATTGAATCAGGGAAATCAACCAACGGACAAACGAACAAACAGTCGAAAGAACAATTAAAAGGCAGGCAGGCGCAAATAAACAATTAAATACAACAACAACAAAAATAAAATAAATTAAAAGGCAGGCAGGCGCAACTTAACAATTAAATACAACAACAAACAAAAAATTACAACTAGCTGAGTGGGTGCACCATTGAACTGTTGAAATACACAGACCTGTAATATCTCAAGGCCGTCGCCAGTTAAAATAAAAAATAAAAAATACACATGAAAAAATAAAAAAAATCCCATGCAGAGGACGGTGTATGCAAACACCAGATTCAACATTGTCTGGGAGGTTAGAGAGTCAAACACAAAAACCAGATTCAACTTTGTCTGGGATTCACTGCCCCACAACACGCACCGGAGGGAGGCTGTCATGATCACAACCACTCATGTTGCAGACCATCATCAACACCGGGCATGCACAGGATGGTGCACAACCGCCGCGCCCAAGGGTGGAGAAGACTTTACCTAAATCAAACACCGGATCAAATTTCGTCTGAGAATCGCTGCCCCGCGACACGCGCTGGAGCGGGGCCGCCATGATAGCCAACAATCCTATTGCAGACCATCATAAACGCCCGTCATATCCGAGAGTGCTGGCAGGCTGTTCTGACACCTGTGAAATTCCAGGGCATCTGCGAACTTTACAAAAAAACAGAGCAGTAGAGTGTCATCATGCGAGTGTTGAACATCCCAAGGCAGATGCCTGTGTCAACGGAAGTTCACGGAACGTCCACTGATATTACTACATAGCAGATCCATGTGCCACCTACGGCAAGTGAAAGCCCCATAGCATGCCGATATTGGTCTTGTTTTTTTTTGTTTTTTTTTTGTAATTTTCAAAATCCTTTATTGTTATTATTATCATTTAAAAAAAAAAAAACATGCCATCCGATGATGGGCGATGGTCAGCCATGCCATCCGATGGTGGGCAATGGTCAGCCATGCCATCCGTGGGCGGGCAGACACTCGAGATGCGTGTGCAGACGTTGTCCATCAATCTGTCCATGTTCTATTCCTTATTATTCCTTAATCCATGGATAGTGGAGTGCATAAAGTGACTGCGAGACAACCGCGGAGGTGGTGGGTCATGAGGCAGAGTGGGGGGTTGTGGAGAGACTTGGAAATTACAGACAACGCGGAGGATGACCATTATCTCAGTCTCCTGCGTATGAAGTGGTCAAGCTTCAATCGTATTCTGGATATTCTGCGACCCCACCTGCAAAAGCAAGTGACAAGATATCGCATGCCTCTTCACCCTGCGCAGGTGTTGGCATACGCGATCCACAGGTGGGCACATGGCGATTCGCAGCGCCACTCAACATCAGCGTATGGGATGGGCAAGACGAGTGGTCTGAGAGCAGTGAGGATGGTCGCTGTTGCTATAATCAAGTGCTTCCCAGGCAATATCAGCTTTGGTTCTTATGAAGACAGGAATCGAATCATGCAAGCGTTCGCGGACCGTGGATTTCCTAATTGTCTTGGGTGTATTGATGAGACGCATATCTACCTCGACAAGCCTAGGAACATGTGTGGTGATGACTTCTGTTCAGGGCGGACGAAGAGGTTCTCAATCGTTGCGCAACTCGTGTTTGACGCATACTTGCGTATAGTAGATCTCTTCTTTGGGTTCCCAGGCAAGTCACATGACTCTCGTGTTCTACGGAACTCCTCGCTGTATCGGCGTGCTTTGAAAGGTGATCTCTTTCGTGATGACCCGGACGATCCACACAGGGAAGAACGGCCGCCAGTGGATGGTGTCCCTAACTCTTACCTGCTTGGCGACAATGGATATCCAATTCTGCCATGGATTGTATCGCCATACGGAGGGACAACTGTAGGAGATGAAGTTTTATTCGACAGTCTTCACAGAGTGGCGCGGTGTGGTGCGGAGCGCGGGATCGGCATCTTCAAGTTGAGGTGGCAGTACTTCCACAGACAGGGGGTGAGGAGCACGCCATACATAGGAACAGAGTTTCGCGCAGCGTGTATACTTCATAATGTCTTGAGGAAGTGGGGCGATATACCAGAAGAGGGACGCAGGTTCACCGCAGAAGAACTGACAAGATTTGCCCATGTTCCATGACCACCGTTGAATCCATACCCTCCTCTTAATCGACAACTGGAGGAGGGGAGGTCTTTTCGTGATTCCTTGTGTGTGCACGTTTGTGCATTGCACCGTCGTCGACGAGAGGAGGCAGCGGCAGCAAGGGCAAATCGTCGGGCGGCGTGCGCCCCATACTAAGCACCGAATCGTTGTGCATATGAAAATAACAGTGTGAACAAGTGGCAGTCTTTACTTGCATGGGTATTCACCACATACACATGCAAGAATGTGCAAAGAGGAAATGTCTGTTCTTACGTGCTGGTGATCAGATAAAGGCAGGTTTAAGGAGAGGGAACACAGCAGTTGCTTCCCTCGGACAATACATTGCCGCGTCGCGTGTACCTCGTATATTCCGCGAATCCCGCTGGGTTCGCAAGATGTTGGCAGTCGCCATCGTTATGTCCGCTTTGCCCACAGTACTCGCCTCCTCCTGTGTAGAGTGTGTGAGTGTATGTGCGCGTGTTTTTTTTTTGTGTGGGTGTGTATGTGCGTGTGCGCGCTTGGCGACTTGGAGTGTAAACCATTCACTGTCTGACTCAGCGACAGAGCAACTGAGCTAAGAAAAGAATCGGAGACTAACTGACACAGCGACTCACTTCGTCGTCAACAGTACGAAATTCAATGACGAAATCAGCAATGTTACACTAAGTAAGTACGAGTGAGCGATGACGAATGCGTGAGTTCGGATGTGCGCGCACGCACGTGTGTGTGTGTGTGTGTGTGTGTGTGTGAGAGAGAGAGAGAGAGAGAGAGAGAGAGAGAGAGAGAGAGAGAGAGAGAGAGAGAGAGAGAGAGAGAGAGAGTCCCTCGGCGTGGCTGTATTTCCCTCTTTCGTTTAGTGTGCCTGTATGCGGCTAAAATCGTTTTCCAAGATGACTGTCTTCCGTTC